TTTAAAAATTTGCTTCTTCACGAAATCCCGGTGCCTAAGCGCCCAGCGCAGCCTCACTGTTTGGTGTGGAGTGACATTTATTAAATGAATGAACTATATACACATCTCACGGACCAAGGACAGAAGACGGAAGGGAAAAGGAGGAAGAATCAGTGAAGCAAAGTCGATCGATGAGTTACTTTGGAGAGAAAGGGGATTTATCAGGAGGGACAGAGAAAATCTGCAGCAGCTGGACAGGCAAATAGTTTGATACATTTGTTATCAAACAAGTCATGGTAATTTATAAGGAAAACACGGTGCCTGGGAGATAAATGGACACAGAGCCTGAACAGAGCAGTATCAAAGCAGAAGTAAAACAAGAAGCGGCCATATGGCACTTTGCAGCCCTCTCTCCCTTAGCTACCTTACTTACCCCCCAAATTTATTTTCTTTCACTGCTTTCTGTGTTTTCCCTTAAAAATATCACTATCCCAATATTCTCTCTATATTTCTTATTTATTTTCTTTCCCTCCCACTTGCATGAAAACTCCATGAGGGCTGGATACCTATTGGTTTTGTAGACTGCTCTGTCACCTCCGTTCCTAGAACAGGGCCTGGCATGTAGTAGATGCTCAGTATATACTTGTTGGATGAATGGATGAATGAATGGACTGTTGATAATGAATGGACTATTGAATGAATGAATGAATGAATGAATGGACTGAAATGGCCAAGACCTTCTTCATGTTCATACTCCCATCACTTGCTTTTGTGTCAAGGCTCCCTGACAGAAACTAGAGAACATATTCAGGAAATTTGCTGCTGGCCCAGAATTTGAAAGAATAGCAAGTAGATTACAAATGGAAAATGAAAAAAATCCTAGACATCAAACTGAGTAAGACTAAACACAAAGCAAAGAAAGGATAATTAAAAAAAACGTTTAGACTTTTGTTTAAAATGTATTATAGTTTTGTATTTAGGTCTATTTCTCTAAATAAATTATTGTATTATTAGTTATTGAAAATGCTTTTTTCTAGACTGGGCTTCTGTGCAAAAAAGCATCCTCTCCAGGAATAAGGAAGAGAGCATCTGGTGAATGTCGGCATTTGTGTTTTTAAGGCGTGCCCAGACATGTGTTGACATGTGGGGTCCGCTGAATGGTAGAAACACATCTAGGAGTTTCCTGAAGTTTAAGAGAACATGACGCATTCATCTGACCATTAAAAAGCATTCAGTTCCTGCTGCAGACCAGACCCTGTGCCATAACCAGGGCTTCCTTTTTTCCTTTTTTTAAAGCATGGGAGTGCTTTCTGCCTGTCTAAAGAGCGGAGTCAAATGCAATGATTTGCCCAGCTTCATTTAAAAAATACATTTCAAAATATATTTTTTTCTCAACGTTTAAAAATCAGTACATTTCCTACACAAAGCCAGATTTCTGTCTTCTTTAAAAACCCAAGTGGGAAATGCTAACTACGGGGCACATCATTGCTGTGTGGCAAGACTGGCCCGGGGTAAGCTGCAGCTTCTCCTTTAGCCCTTTTGGCAGAGTCCCCACTGCTCCTTGTTGCCTTGTCCTAGCTGGGTGGTGCCTTTCAGTCACCAGTGTGTCCCTGGTAGTGGTTGTGCGGAAATCGGTCACAGAATAAGAAAGACCAGGCTCAAGCTGTGTGAGGCCCATTTTGGTAAGCCCAGTGTCAGAAATTTGAAACAGAATTTGAAACAGAGATTTTTTTTTCTCAGTAGTAAGATGGAGTAGTGATTAGTTTTAGGGGAGTTAGTCTAAATTTGAGTGATGGCTTGAGAGAGACCATGTTTCAAATGCGTTCTCGACAAGAAGTGTCATTCGTGCAAAAGGGCAAACTCTGGCCCCACGTTCTCTGGGTGTGAGTGTTCAGAAGACTCAGTGTGGAGCCAAGAGCAGTGCAGCTAAGTGCTGAGCTCAGCACAGCTCGCTAGCTCCCAAGTCCCGCAGACAAGGCTGGAGGGAGTGTCTTCACGGGACTATCCCATAATGCAGACACAGGAGGCAGTGCACTCCCCGGACCTGCGGCCCGCGGGTCCTCTCGGCCCAGCCAGCGTGACCCTGGGCTTGACCGGAAACCCACGGAGAGGGAGGAGGGTAGGTTGGCTTGAGGTCCATAGCCTGCTGGGCAGGTTTGAGAGTGGAGACGCTGGCAGACCTCCCCCGCTGGAACTGGGCCGCAGCTCCCAGGAAGGCTGTGAAAGTAAAGGAAGAACCCAGATCTTTCGGGGAACAGAGCTTGGACAGAAGGTGAGGGAGGTAGTAAAAAAAAAAGATAATGACAAGGTTTTCTATTTTTTTCAATGTTGCTCTAATTCAATATATCATGAGCTGTCCTTATGAAGTTAACTATTACCAGCAAAAAGTTTGTTCTGAGTAAGAAAGGCACAATGAAAAGTTCATAATTATGTTGAGATTGCTCCTCAGAGGTATGCAGGACCATACAGGGGCACTGGCTGTCTGAGATGAAGCTGAGTAATCACACAAGGATCATTGGCTGGTGTAAATTCAACAGCTCTTGTATGTGCCTGATGACATACTTGGAAGAAGTTTCACAGCCTGTGACAGCTGTGTGGCACATCTGCTGGAGATCCACACAATCAGTTACACAAGCATTCATTGAGAAAGGTTCGCCTTGGCACCGGCTCTGTGAAAAGCCCTGGGACCTTGAACTAAGTGCAAACTTAATAGGCTGTCAGTTTAATGAAATGTTAGGCTGCATCCATGGAATTGTAATATCTAGTCTTGTTGGAAGCTGAGCTGTTCAAACCACACTTGCAGTACTGTAATTAATCCCGGTCATTTGAAGAAACACATTGAACATTGGAGCTCGTTCCTAGAAGGGTAGTCAAGAAGAATCTAGAAATCATGACATGGGAAATAGTTGAAGGTCTTGGAGATGATAATCCCCAGTTTAACCTGAAGAAGAGAAGATGAAGGAGAGCGATACTATAGTTAGTATCTTCAGGTATTCAAAGGCTTGGCTGATGTTGTGCCTTGTAGAACAATGTCTGAAATAAATGTCTGAGGAATAAATAAACAAAAGGAGAAGAGAGTAGGGGTAGGGTGTGTGTGTGTGTGTGTGTGTGGTTTTCCAGGGAAGAACAAGAACACATGGTAAAAATTACAGGGAAGGAGGCAGATTTTTTAAAAAAGATTTTATTTATTTATTTTTTAGAGAGGGAAGGGAGGGAGAAAGAGAGAGAGAGAGGAACATCAATGTGTGGTTGCTGGGGGCCGTGACCTGCAACCCAGGCATGTACCCTGACTGGGAATTGAACCTGTGACACTTTGGTTCGCAGCCCACGCTCAATCCACTGAGCTATGCCAGCCAGGGCCAGGAGGCAGATTTAAAACTCCATAAATTTTTTTATAACAACCAGTACTGTCTAAGGAGAAACAGCAGATCCTACTAGGTTAGGGAGGATGCGAGAGGGGGCTGAATTTATAAAAGGAATGTCTATGTTCCGTGGTAGACCAGATTCTCAAGTGGAAAGGGAAGGGCTTTGTGGCGGGATAGACCTGGGAGCAAATTATGTCTTTGCCTGTTTAGCTGTGTGACTTCAAGCAAGGTAACTACCTTCTCTAAGCATTTGTTTCTTCTTCTGTTAAATAGGGACAATAAAACTCACGTTGAAGTGCTATTGTGAACCGATCACGTAAAGACCTAGAAATAGAGTGGGCTCTGGTGGATGTTCGTTGACCTCCCCTAGACCAGATGGCATCCACAGCAACCTGAGAGAGTGTCAGGAGCTCTTACAAGGAAGTTCCTTAGGAAGCTCGTAAGATTTACTGAGTCACGTTTGTGTCTTCAGAGCCTGACGCGGCTCGCATCAGGCAGCGGCTTGGTGCGTCCTGGCACACTCGTTGACGTTGTTGTTGATGCTCTGGGTAAGGCATGGCTCTGGGCACTTCTGGAAACAGGCTCTCCTTGGGGTTGCATGGCCAATAGACACAGTGTGCCCGGAGGAAGGAAAGTGAGTTTTGGCATCAGACAGGTTCAAACCCCAGTTCTCCACTGGGAGAACTGTCAAGTTATGTTTTTCTCACGTGTCTCATGTGCGTGAGGGAGAAAATAGCTGAGGGGAAGGACTAGTATTCTTTTCTCAGTGGGAAAGGAATATTCTCAGTGGGACCTGCTTGCCATCCAGGAAGGCAGATTATGCTTGTTCATTCATAAGAGAAGAGCCAGGATTCAGAGAGTTCAAGTAATTTGCCCAAGAAACTTGCAGAGCTGGTATTTGACCCAATTCTTTTAACCTCAAGGCCCATCCTCTTTCTCTTTTCTACATGGTGACTGAAACATTTTCTGAGTGTCTGCTGTGTACCTGGCACACAGGTACTTCCACATGTTACCTCCTTGGCTGTTTAGGTGCCACGTGGAGATGTCGCTCCATGAGTCTCTTTGCAGTATCCACAGGGTAGACTTTCCTGGACACTTGGGAAAGGCTGTTCTTTGTGGGACTGTGGTTCTCTCGCTACCTGGCTTTGGGAGGATCACGCAGGGCACAGTGAGTGGGGCAGGAGATGCCCGCCCAGGCAGCTGTATTAGCTCCGCAGCCTCAACCACCCCTGGAGGAACGGATAGTGTGTGTCTTGAACAGAAGTTGCTATCAGCTGTTAGACAGGCTTCTAGCCCAGTAGACTTTTTCTATGGTGTTGAATGGGGTTTTTAAAATAAGTTACTTGCAAATATTTAATTCTGGAATTTTCACATGAAAACACATCATAGAAGACTTCTGAGGACTTGGATGGGAGGGTAACCCTGGACTCTTGTTCTCCCGGGCAATACCGCACCAGCACCGCACACCTGCTGCTTCCTTCGATGAAGTCAGAACTTGCCCTGGCTCCGCCCCTTTCGAGCATTCTCTTGCTCCATCAAGTAGCTGGGAGTAAGCTGTAGACCCCCTGCACAACTTGCATTAATGAGAATACAACATGCGCGCAAATTGTCTCTGTGTTTGTTTGCTAACAATGCCTTTCTCTTCCTGATCCCCAGTCTGTGATTGCAACGGGAAGTCCCAGCAATGCATCTTTGATCCGGAACTTCACAGGCGGACCGGGAACGGATTCCGCTGCCTCCACTGCAACGACAACACCGCAGGCGCTCACTGCGAGCGATGCAAGGAGGGGTTTTACCAGCAGAGAGAGAGAGACCGCTGTTTACCCTGCAACTGTAACTCCAAAGGTAGCTGGGGGGAAGGGCAAAGGAAGAGGGAGATGGAGAAGGGAAGGAGGGAAGGAGGGTGGGAGGAAGAGAGGGAGGGAGAGAGAAGCCAACAGGCCAAGAAAGAGGCTTTCCACTTCTAGAACAATCGGGAATCTGAAAACAAACGTTTTTTTCTGAAGTCTGGATCATAGGAACCAGATGGTGTCTAATTTAGGGCACATCCATTTGAATTCTAGAAACACGAAAAACAGGATTATCTGTCCTCGAAGGTGACAGTCTCTGACCCAGGGGCTAAGGAAGCATGCACTCGTTCAGTGCTATTTCCTCCTGTCTACAACCGTCCTGTGTCCAACCTCTCAAACAGTAAAGGATTAGAAAGGTCTGTTTCTGGTACTGTGCTAAGTGCTAGGGGTATAGAGGGGCACTAACGGAAAAGACAGAAAAATAAATAGGCAGATTAGTGCCTTTCATGAGGTTGTTAACAAGAAAAAGTAGAATTAACAAGCAGGAAGTACCTGCTGTACTGGCTGGTTCATAGAAGGGCTCTTTTTCGTTGTTTTTGTTTTTTAAAATGTATCACCCTGCACCATATTTGCAGAACTGCAGGTGGTACTCTGCACACAGATGTGCACAACGTACCCGATTCTTGATGGGCGGGCAGTGAAGACAAGTTAGTACAAAGCAAGAGGGAGAGACAGGTAGTCCTGCTAAATAAGTTGAGTTTTTTCTTTTTAATGACCTTATTGTCTATTATCTTAGCAGTATCTGTTTCATCTCTTTGCTAGAAAGTGTTTAACAGCATCATATGATAAATATTAACCCACCTACAGGGTATTTATGGGCTAGTGTGTGTGGCAGTGACTCAGAGTGGCTCAGTGGAACCAACTCAGCAGCAGCTGAAAGCATCAGAAAAGAAGCAGATTTTGGTTCAACAAGGCGTTGCTGATAGACTGTATTGGGGAGTCTTGTAGAAAACTGGGGTGCCCCTGTTGTGATACAGACCCGAGTTCCAGAAACCATGCCCAAACCACCAGAGTCCTGTGAGGATGTCATCTGATCAGGTTTGCTCAACTTTGTGGTGTAGAATCAGCATCCAGAGTCTTTGGGATTTAGCAGTTCTCCCTATGAATCAAAGAATTTTGAAAAGAAAAACTAAAAGAAAAATCCTTCCACCTTAATGGGCATCTAACCTCTGTGAAAGGCCCACATGCCCGTAGGTTCTGCAGCCTTGTGGTGAGTCCCTGGAGTTGGGTGTCCCAGCAAAGTGATCAGTGAGAAAGGAGTTAGGAATGTAACTGGCTCAGCTGGAAAGCCCGGCCTGAGGACAAGGAGCCCGCTGCAGAGCAGCGAAGAGAGAGGGTACTGAGGACTGGGAGTCCACTGTCCGTCCAGCAACAATGAGCCTGGCTCTGTCTCTTCCTTTGGGGAGCGGCCACCCCGGGCTCGGTGAGATCAGCCCAGTGGGAGGAAGTAGAGCCCAGCGATGACTTACATCTTGTGGGGCAGCTGACGTGCATTACTCGCACTTCCCCTGTGCCAGCCGCTTTGCTAGGTGCTTTTATCCAGTAATTAATTTAATCTCCATAAATAACGTTATGAAGAGGGTGCTATTATTATTTCCATGTTACAAATGAGGTGGCAGAGGCTTAGAAAGGGAGGGGAGGAAACTTGTTGAAGGTGGCAGAGCTCCATGGGCTCCAGCCCCGGGTGTGCTGGCGTCAGAGAGCGTGACGTGGAGTACAGGGGCGGGTGTCAGAGCCCGACAGCCTCAGGTCAAGTCTTGGCACTGCCACTGCCACTCTGCCACTCTGGGCTTTGTCCTTAAGCTCTCGCTGCCCCAGTGGCCTCATCTGTAAAAGGGCCATCATGCTATTTATGTCACAGGATCGTATGAGGATAAAATGGTGTTTGTTAAGCACATGGGAGACAGCTCAGTAAAGTGATGTCGTTGTTTTTCTTGTTGGGACAGAGGTCAGATCTCAATCCCCTGGAACACTGGCCGTTTTAAAAAAAGAATCACGTGCCAGAATTATACGTCAAGGATTATATGCCTTCTTAGAAAGAAGCCTAATAAAACTATTTATTAATATCTTATCATGAACATCCTGAAACTGGCAATGAATTTTTCAAATCTTTTTAAATGGAGTTACTGCGTGGCCTAAAACCTCCCAGCAGGCAATTACAGGAGCCAAAGTTATAATGCAGGTGTTCCAACCAAGAACTATTCCCTTTAATTCCCTCCATATGAAAGGGGAAAAAAAATCAGAATGGTGCCCTTTTATCCCCAACAGCAGATAATTAGATGTCCAGAAAAAACGTCACGGATATTACTTCCTAAGATCTGGGCAATGCTTTATGTTTTTTTCCAGAACACTTTCTCGTACTGTGTCTTTTTTATCTGTGTGTGGACACTCCACCCAGCATTACAGAGATGAAGGGACGAGCTCCTGGGCCCGAGCTGCCCAGGCCGAGTGGCATGTTGGTGACAGAGACTGTCCCCCCCATGTGTCATCTCCAGCTACACATGGGCTTGGCCACACAGGTCACTAAACCAGTGGCACAAGATTAATTCCCAATGTGATTTTTGTCTCCTAATCAACCAAATGACATTTTCCACTTTCAAATAATACCTTCACAAGGGAACTCGTTGTAGATTCAATGTCATATGCAGGAGAATACGTCTTACTCCAAAATGCTATCACTCCATGAAAGGCAACTGAAGCCAACAGCATTAATAATCCCTAGTATGGTCATGGATTTGGATTTCACCTCAATTCCTCATAAACATAGCACAACTGGACTTGTTTTGATGTGATGACTTTGTGGGCTCAGCCACAAGGCCGAACTATCTTCAGTTCTCGTAACCACACATACAAGCCCTGATACCCTTTTGCTACTACTTTGAAATTCACTCTGTGCGTGTGTGTGTGTGTGGGGGGCGGGTTTCTTTCTCCCACGACACCTAAATTCTTGAGATCCGTGTAGACACCAGTGATAATGGAATTATTCTCTTAATTTTATTATTTTTTACATAGCTATGACCCTGACAGTGGGGTAGTCAGTCTCTAACATTTGAGTTATTATTTAAAATGTGCCCTCAATAATGATCATTTAATTATTATTAAATATAAGTATTCAGTGATAGTCATGTTATTGTAAAATGCAAGCTGTGTGTTTACACATACAGGGTTCTCAAGAGGAGGTATATTCTCTCGGTTCAAATTTTTAGTGTAAATCGTTTTAGGATATTTCTCGAGTTCTCAGATGTACGTAGACTATACGCACATAAGTCCTAAAAGCGCTGATCGGAGCACAGCCTTAAAACAGGAAGCCTTTAGCCTGGCTGGCATAGCTCAGTGGATTGAGCACGGACTATGAACCGAATTGTTGCAGGTTCGATTCCCAGTCAGGGCACATGCCTGGGTTGCGGGCCAGGTCCCCAGTGGGGCCATGTGAGAGGCAACCACACATTGATGTTTCTCTCTCTCTCTTTCTCCTTCCATTCCCCTCTCTAAAAATAAATAGAATCTTTAAAATAAAATAAAATTAAAAAAGAAAACAGGAAGCTATTTCTCATCTGTTCTTAAAAGTCAGCTGTTCACAGCCCCCTCGTGATGTAGGGATTGGGACAGGTGTTTATATTAGTGAGGCATTTTGGAGACCTGGCGCTGCAACTTTGGGAGTTTTGGAACATGAACTAAAGTAGTCACGTTCCCGGCAGGACCTGTGTGCTTTGCAAGGCTCGAGGGAGGCCTAGAGGTGATGTACAAACCACATTTTCTGAGCATCTGCCGTGCATGAGATACTGAAGTGGGCGCTTTGTATATTTTAGCTCAGAGGCTTACGACCGCTCTGCCAGGCATAGGTCCTTAGCCCCTCCTCAAAGAAGTGATGAGTGCACTGTTCACCCAAGGACACAGCCGGTAAGCGGCAGAGCTGGTGTTTGAAGGGAGGTGTGCTGGACTTCAAAGCCTGGGCTCTTTCCATAACCCCCAGCTTCAGAGCTGTATTCTCCGGAGAGTGTGCTCAGAAACACCGTGTTCCTCAAGATAATAATAGGTGTTTACTGCAAGAATTCAAATGATGTTTGGAAACACGGCCATTAAAAAGTTAAGCTTCGTGTCGACCGAGCATACTATTACGCTATAAACCGTTGAAAGATTTAGTATGTACCATTCCCCAAACTCTTTGGAACACAGAAAGCCTATTTTCATGAGATGACTGTTAATAACCCTCAGAAGGATGTTTTATAGAGTACCGTTTGGGGCTGTTTGGGCCAAACCCAAAAGCAAAGTACAGTCTTCATCTTATAAGCATAATTCATTTCTGAAACACTGTGGAGGAAGCTTTCTGAAGTCAAAAGCATCGTTTCCATTCATTTGAGTGGGAAAAAGCATGTGTCTGGGTGTCCCAGATAGACACCCATTTGTGTTGAAAACAACTAAGTTATACTAAAGAGATATTTCTTCTGTGGAATGCTACTTGTCAGAGTATAATTCTAAGCGTTTTCCCTTCTTAGCTCTGCTTGCTGCTCACAGGGCAGTGAGCGAGCGTGGCCGTCCGTACGTGGCAAGCCCAGCCAGCAGCCTCTCTCCGTTCCCATCTTGTCAAAGGTCCACCTGCCTTCAAGCAGGGGCCTCAGACTCATTTTCCCCGGGGGCCATGTCAGCCTCGCGGCTGCCTTCAAAGGGCTGAAATAATTTTAGGACTGCATACATGTAACTACTCCTTAACTGTTCAGGAGTTGAAATTACATGCGGCCCTTTGAAGGCAACTGCGAGGCGGATGTGGCCCCCGGGGAAGATGCGTTTGACACACCGGCCTTGGACCCTGAAAACCACCCCGCCCTCCTCGTCCTTTAACTGTCCTTTAAAACTCTGCCCCCTCGCCCCCCACCGCGGCGTGCGCTGTCCTGAGGCCGCTTCCCTCTCCGATCACCCTCTCCCCCTATCCACAGGGTTTTGTTTCTGTGCCGGGCATGCACCTGCCTTCTCTAGCTGCCCCCAGAGCAAAGTCGTGACTCTTTATTCACCCTGCAGACTTCACCTCCGGCCTCTCTTGAGTTCCAGACTTCCATTTCCACCCACTGTGCCACTAGGAACTCAAGGTCATGATGTCTAAACTAAACTCAGTGTCTTCTCCAGCTGATTCAACCCCAGATCCCGCTGCCCCTTCCCCTTCCCTTTGATTGGGAGCATCCCATCCCACCTCGTTGTGCCCTCCCTCCAAGCCCTTGGAGTCAGCCACGTGACCCTAGCCCCGCCCCCCCCACCCCCCATTTCCCAGAGGTCGCCAAAGTCTGCTCATTCTGTGTGCACGGTGGCTCTCCCAGGGTTTCCTTCCCCCTCCCCTCCCCTGCCTCCTCCACTCCAGGCCATTCTGTCACAGGGAACTTCTTTCAGGGGAGGCTGCTGGTCTTCCCCGCCCCGAGCCGCCCTGCAGATCGCTCTAGAGCTGTCTTTTTAAACCACAGGTTTGACAGTCCCCGAACCTCAGACAGTCCCCTGTCACCCACAAATGGATCTCTTATCCTTCTGCCGGTGTTTAATTTGCTGGTAGCTAGCACGGGCTAATACATACACAACGCCTAACCCAGTGTCTCACACTTAGTGGGTGCTCAAAAAGTGCACTTTAGACTGTTATCACTGAGGCTCCCCAAGCCTTGCTGAGTTGACCTGGAGTCTGCCACAGACTCTAACTGTGAATGGGACTAATTTATTTCATGGTCCATATGTGCCATAAAAGCCTTTATATGGGCCCAGAACCAATACTTTATTCATTTGAACTGCACCTAGTAACAAATTTAAAGGTCACAGAGGATAGCATACATTTTCTTGCTGCTCTTTTTTTTTCTAAAGGAGCAACTGGTTAGTGTTCTGTTGGCTCTACAGAGAATGGATAGTCTCGCTATCACAGTGGAGATATGCAGGTTATTTTATCACTCTGCCAGCCACAGGAAACTTTGGAAGTAGGCGAGGTACACCTCTAGCCAGCTTCCACCTCATGGTCGGCTCCCTCCTCAGCCCTTCCACAGCAGCCCCGTGCCTTTCTGGGCTTCTGTGCATGAATTCAGCCGGCTGCTGGGTGTCTTCTTTGTGTGGGGCACTGTGCTGGGTGCTGGGGACCCAGCAGGGACCACTGGCTGAGGTCATAGGTAAGCAGGGCTAGGGGCTGGGGTAGGGGTGGGGTGGATGGTGTAGATATGGGAGTCAGAGAAGGTGTCTCTTGAGGGGAAATATCTAACCGAGACCTGAGTGCTGAGAATGAGCCCGCTTAGGGAAGTGCTGGGGCAGGAGCATTCCAGGCACAGGGAGCAGCAGCTGCAAATGCCCTGAGGAGGGAAGCAGTCTTGCACCTTCTAGGAGCAGTCTGAAGAGCCAGGGAGCTGGAACCTCGTGGGAGAAGGGAGGAGATGCGGTAAGAGAGGTTGAGGTTTATGGGCCGTGATAGAGTTTGCATTTTATTCTGCTCAGAGCGGGAAGCCACCTGGTGACTTAGGCATATAATATGATCTGAATTCCACTTTAAAAAGAGCCCTCTGGCTTCTACATAGAGGCTGGAGTGTAGGGAGGCAAGGACAGAGGCAGGGAGGTCCTGAGCACCCCTCGTCTTTCATCGATACTCCATCTGAGAGGACCCACTTACACGGGAGAGCGTGTCTATAGAGGATCAATCACAGGGCAAGCACCCAGGTGCACTAAGCGGGAGAAGAGGCAAACGCCCCTTGTTGCTCTCGAGGAGCGATGCTCCGAGGACAAAATCGCTACCCCTCCGGGCTACTAGAGACCCTTTTGGTCAAGAGGCCTTTTTGTCCACTTAAAAAAATCACACCCTCCAAACACTAACCCATCAAAGGTGGCTTTTGCCTGCGAGAGAGAAGGGAGAGAAAGAAGGGGCTTGCTTTCTCGTGCCCACTTCTGCCAGAAGGCGGACACCCGCTCCCAAGCTTTCCTCCTTCGTGAAAGATCGAGGGTCTGACGGACTTCTCTGGAAAAGCAGTGGCGTGCACACTACCTAGTGTTGAAAGCAGGCAGATCCACACACCGAAATGCTTTCAGGAGTAATTTCCATTCCCTTCCCCGAAGAAGACAGCCTGTCTGCTGAAACCGTCCCTGGTGGGCGACGCTGAACTCACACGATGTGAGAATGGTTAGAGGCAGCAGGTGGTTGTGATTTTATATTATTCATTGTCACCCATAGGGTGACAGTTGCTTCCTAACGCCATATAAATTACATATTTCCTCTTCTTTCCTTTCCCCTACCTTGTCGGTGACAGGCTCTCTTAGCCCTCGATGTGACAACTCCGGACGGTGCAGCTGTAAGCCGGGTGTGACAGGAGACAGGTGTGACCAATGTCTGCCAGGCTTCCACACACTCACGGACGCCGGCTGCACCCAGGACCAAAGGCTACTGTAAGCACCGCACCCCCCACTGCTGCCCCTGCCACGCGTGGTGACAATTATATTAACAGTCGTGACCACTTACAGTTCCTGAGCACCTACTGTGTGCCAAACGCCGCTTTGAGAACTTCGTGTGGATTGTCTCATTTGACCCTCACAATAACCCGAGGGGTTGGGATCACCGTGATACTCACGTTAAAGATAAGAAACTCACCCCAGGAGAGACTGAGTGGCCCAGTGTTGCTGGTGAAGGTGGGCATAATAGTCAGGCCCGCAGTCCTGGGTCAGGAGCCCGCGTTCTTCACCCTGACAGTGGTGGCCCCTGCTTCAGATGAACAAAGACTGGGGTAAAGGGCCCAGATTTTTACCCGGGACCCATGTCAGCCCAAATGAACTCGGAGTAGAGGACTTCTGCGTGTCCTCCAACCCCTGTTAGTGTGGAGCAGCTTCTGCCCCTCCTCACATTCCTCCCTGGAGCAAGGCGGAGCGTGCACTGTCAGTCACGTAACCAGCCCGCAGAGACGCCGGGCCGGCAGGGCGTTGGCATGGCCCAGAGGAGGGCGAGCTTGGCAGCGGAGCCACTAGCTAGAAGGCCGCCCGCAGAGGAATCACGTCCCCGTCGCCGACGTTTCCAGCCCCTTGCCCGTGTGAGAACAGCCCCCCCCAGCCACGCTTGGTCTGTCTCGGTCACCATTGTCCCAAGTTCTCTTACCCTCTGGGCCTTTGTGTAGTAGATTGTTCTCTTCCAGCCCCTCTGCCCCCTTTTCGGTTGTCTTCAGAGATCCTTCCCTGAACCCAGTCCCCTTTCTGTAACCCTTTTAAATCATGAAGCAGATCGCCCCTGCTGGTGTGGCTCAGTGGCTTGAGCGCAGGCCTGTGAACCAAAGGGTAGCCGGTTCAATCCCCAGTCAGGGCACATGCCTGGGTTGTGGGCCAGAACCCTGGTGGGGGGCATGTAATAGGCAGCCATACATTGATGTCTCTCTCCCTCTCTTTCTCCCTCTCTTTTCCCTCTCTAGGAAATAATGAACAAAATCTTTAAAAAACACATGAAGTAGATAGATTATATAACTTCTCTGCTTGCAACCCTGTTAGCTCCTCTCCCACTTAGAATGAGTCTAGACGTCTCATCAAGGCCAGTAAGGTCCTGCAAGATCCCCTCATTTCCACCCTCATCATAGGCTCCCCCCGACTTGTTGCCACTCTGCCCCAGGCTCTCTGCATTCCAGCTACACCAGCCACACCAGCCTTCCTTCCCTCCTTGAAAGGAGCCAAGTATATGTGACCTTGCCCTTGACTTAGAGCACTGTCCCTGCCCTCAGAGTCACACAGACCTTCCTGGGGCCCCATGCCTGCTGCACCCATCTCCTCACGGATGATAAATGTTTTAAACCCGTCAACTGAACCAAACAGTCAACTGGAACTGAACAGCTCAGCCCTGAACTTGGTTTCCATTCTGGCACAAAGCCCCTCCTCTCTTCAGGAGTAGATTGGGATAGCAAACAGTTCATGGGCTGGCTGCCACCCCAGACCACACTTGGAGTAGCACCAGCATAGACAGATGGGTCCTTCAAGGGTCGGCGGGGTGCTGGCCAGACGAGGACAGCTAAGAGAGGCCTCGTGGAAGGTGAACGATTTGCTCAAGTTCGGCGACAGTTGCTAATGAGCACTTGATCTTCATGTGAAGAGTTGCAGAGCGTTTGGAAACATCCCTAACTTTTGTTTTCTTCTTTCCCAGAGACCCCAAGTGTGACTGTGACCCAGCTGGCACCTCGGGGCCCTGTGACGTGAGCCGCTGTGTCTGCAAGCCGGCGGTCACGGGAGAGCGCTGTGATAGGTCTGTGTGAACTGGGGCCCTACAGTCACAACAGGGAGAATCCCTTGGCAACAAACATAAACTGTCCTCTAGTGCAATTATGGAAATGGGACACTTAACAGATGTGGACGAGCTTCTTTGTGCCCTCTGTCCTCAAAAACTAGGCTTTTAAAACAATACAGCAGACTCCCCAAACCTCACTGGCCTCCACGCGTTTGCCGTGGCCCCTTCTCTTCGCTTGCACCAGGGTAGAGGCGCAGGGCCCCAGGCAGTCCCCTCGCCCGCTGGCTCCAAATCCAGGTGCTCGGGTGCCAGGTGGTGTGCGAAGATGAGGTCACATGACCCAGCTTGCTGCCAGGACAGGCCTGACCTAATTAAACATGTTGGGAAAATGCTAGTACCAGGGCGGATCGCAGTGCATGGCCATATTTAACCACCGGGTGCAGAGAGGAGCCACCCAGGGGTGGCATGGGGGCTGCATGCACACACACGAACCAGGGAGACGGGAGAGCCTGCCGGGCGCCCGGCCAAGCCTGGGCAGGTGGCTCCAGGAGCCGAGATCCGCCCTCAGCTGCTGCCGCAGGACATTCCTCCCGAGCACGAGCACGAGCTCACTGCTCAGACTCAGACCTCCGCCCGCCCCTGGATGGCCGCGGGCACAGGGCTGCGGCTTGGCTCCAGAGGTAAAGGCTTCCTCCTCGTTTCCTTACAAGCAAGAGAGCGGCTCTTGACACCCTGCCAATCACTTCCACCTGGGCAGGGGCAGCGCCAAACACATTCCGACCTACTGAGGTTGGGGCAGGGAAACGCAGCTTCAGGGTTAAAAGAGGAGTCGCTTTGTGAAAACGTTTTTAATTTCCAAATATAACAGAGAAACAGAAAGCCACACGAAAGCGTGTTGTCAGCACCACCAATTATATAAAGTAGACCTTTGCTAAAAGTGTGCCAGCCCCAAAATCCCCTCCCTCCCCGGAGAAGCAGCCACAGTTCTGACCTGTCGGCCCTCGAGTCCTTACCTTTCTTCACAATGTACTGGGCAAGTGCATCCCTGCAAGCACTGGCGTTCAGTTTCGCCTGCTTCTCTCTTCATTTCCCTCCCCCGCTCTGCCTTCCTTTCCCATGCCCTCTGCGCCCTGGCTGGACCCCTCCCCGCCTCTCTTTCTTCCCTTGTTCTTACATCTCTTTAATTTACAGGTTTCCTCCCCAGAAACCATAGTGATTTTTTAAGCCCCTTCCCCATAGAGAGAAGGAAAACATGCTTATTTGGTTGCAGCTGTTTTCTGAAGCATCACGGCTAACTGGCTTTACTGTGATTTTGCAAATGAACACATTCCCGACTTAGGGTCCAGTGGGTTAGACCCCAGGATTCAGAAACGGATGTACTTGAGCTTGAATCTTGCCTCAGCCACTAACCAGCTGAATGACCTTCCACAAGGTTCATACCTTCTCTGGGTCTCTGCATCTAAGAAAATTGGAAACAACAATTTCTATCGCATGGGGGTGTCATGAGGATTAAATGAGAAGGCACATATTTGGTGCCTGGCGTATCATTTAAGTGCCAAAGTAAATGATACTTGAAATTATTCTTCTTTCATGGGGAAGGATGTAGTAAACTTGAACCCAGAAAAAAGAAGTTGTCCCTAGCTTCCCCCGCCCTCCTCTCTGTACGCCAACATCTGGGGCTTGTCCGGCAGCCGTGGTCCTCAGAGTGACCACTGGACAGCCCGAGGTGGGAGAGAGGCGGAGCCTCAGCCTGCACTTTGCTTTTGTAGAGAGTCTCCAGCCTTCCTTTGTCATATCCTCACCTGCCCTTTCCTGGGTGGGCCAGAGCCCAGGTACAAGGAGCAGGGGTGACGGGCCACACCTGTGGGTGGGGGATCAGTACGGCAGAGTGGGTGCTGGGGCTGGAGCATTTGCTTTCCTTCCCTGCTCCCCACCCCCATCCACCCTATTGCCCCCATTAAGCCCTTGCTCCATAGCCCCGCCCCGCTCCACCCCATGTCGTCCTTGTGACCCCCACTCAGCTCCTCACCACGAATGGGAAAAACCACTGTTTCCAAACCTCCAGTTCACACATGATTCCGCTGGAGCAGAGGGAGAGAAGGTGATCGTCCCTCGTGCTCTGCCGCTGGGGCGCTGCGGTTGCCCCCAGGTGGTCCGAGAGCGGGGGTGGCAGGTGCAACTCAGTGTTTACCAGCTTTGGGGGTGCACAGGGCCAGGCGGGAGTGAAAGTAGCGTACGATCAGTCATCGTCGTCTGTATATGGAATAAGAAATAACCGCTAATGTTGTCCTGGTTCCTCAAACGCCACTGCAGGTGTCGACCAGGCTACTATCACCTGGATGGCGGGAACCCCGAGGGCTGTACGCAGTGCTTTTGCTACGGGCACTCAGCGAGTTGCCACAGCTCTGGGGACTACAGTGTCCACAGGATCACCTCAGACTTCCACCAAGGTGAAGTATTTTGTTCTCTAGAATTTTTGCTTTTAACACTGTATGGAGCTCTGTGCTTACAGATACCGCATTTTGGACTTTAAGAGTCACCACCCCCCCCAAATTTGGGAGAAAAAAGGGGGTTCATCTTATAGTCCAAATGTTGCTTACCTGGCTTGCTTTGGGGGGGGCGGTGGAGCAGGGTCACCGATTATTAAATATTTTACCACATTTTTTGTTTCAATTTTTTTTTCCTATTTTTCTCCTCTAAAACCTAGGTGTGTCTTATGGTCCTAAAAATATGGTAACCACCTCACCATTCACAGGATCTAGCATTTAAGGCATCTAGCTTTTCATGTGCATTATTTTTACAGGGTAATACCACAGACTCTGGAGTCTCGAGAAAGTTCTAGCTGAGCAGTTCACTCATACCAGTGTATGAATACCTTAAAAGAATAACTAAAAAGAGACCACGTTCTCATCTCCCTGCATTTCCCATCCCCATCTGTCTCAAAGCCACAAAGAATCATTCATTGGGTGGGGAGGGGCGGTTATGAGTGTCTTCCTGGAATTCACATTCACTAATAATACTGCTTTCACATACATTGAATGAGTTGATTTGTGTGAAATGAGTTCCCAAGCTACAAAGCACCATAAAATGATGGGAGATTGGTGTGATTCCAACTCTGAATTTCTCTTGAACATACTGGATCCCCTCGCTAAGGCCAGACACTGTTCATGTAAATAAAACAATAGTCCGAATCTCAGGCAGATGAAAACGTGGTCTCTTCTTACAAAAGACGCAAAGACAAGAAGTCCAAGCACCTGAGGGGTGGGGGCAGACAAAGTTGAGTCCCAAGCAGAGAGGTGGCCGAGGAGTTTTAAGGACTATGCGTAAGTGTGGAAGTGTTAAGAAAACCCCACTCGCCACTAGGACCTTTTGGCAAGCAAGTCTTGCTTTGTTCTACCTCAGTAGACTGTTTGCCCTAACGCAGAGGGGTTTGTCTGTCTTCCAGATGTGGACGGCTGGAAGGCTGTCCAAAGAAATGGGTCTCCTACAAAGCTCCACTGGTCCCAGCGCCACCGGGACGTGTTCAGCTCGTCACGACATTTGGACCCTGTCTACTTTGTAGCTCCTGGTACGTGTGGCCTTTGTCCCACAGAAGCCACCGTGGGAGGCTAGGGAGTCAGGATAGAAAAAACGGAGTCGGAGAACGTGGAAACTACATCACTCGGGGTGCAGGGCAGCAGCGTCGCCAGAGGAGGGCTGCAGCTTCAGTCCCGTTTGACGAAGTCGTGGCACAAAGAGCGGAAGTGGGGTTCCGGGCGGTCAGATCCTGGGGGAAGTTCCTACTTTAATCGAAGCGGAAGTGTCAAGGGTTCCCATCAAGATAAGATATAAGACCTATTGTCAAATCTGTCAGCCTGTTGAGAAGCAGATGGACAGGGAAAAACGAGGCATTTCTCAAAGCTTGAACCACTTGTGCATGGGAAAAATAGGGATCTGTCAGTGGTGATGAGAAGCTCTGGCTGGAATTCTGATTCCAGTTGTGTCCTTAGCTGACACGTAGTTCCTGGTGAGCTGTCCTCTCAGCCTTTGCAAACTTCCATCCTCTCAGCTGTTCAGTGGGAATGAGAAGGCCTGCTTCCGAGAATTATTGCCCTCAGATGTGATGATGTTTGAACGCATCCTCTAAACTCTTTAGAGCCTAAAGCATTAGGTAACAAATGGCTCTATTGCCAATATACCTGCGATCTCAACATATTGGTCTGGCACAGGGCCGTGCTGTGAATCGTCTCATACAGCGGTCCCCAGCCTTTTTGGCACCAGGGACCAGTTTCATGGAAGACAATTTTTCCAGGGATTAGGGTTGAGGGGATGGTTTCAGGATGATTCAAGCTCGCCTTCTGCTGTGCGGCCTGGTGCCTAACAGGCCTGGACCGGTACTGATCCTCAGCCCAGAGGTTGGGGACCCCTGACATAGTAGCTGGAATTGTCTGACCATGAGGCCCTTGGAACGTTTCAGTAACTCACCCGCCTTTGTAGCCAATAGCAATGTGGCCACGTCCAGTGCCGTGAACTGGCTCTTCTGGAAGGGTGGCCTGGGACAGGATGGTGGGTGGGTAACGGAGGACTCCATCAGAAATTGCCAGCGTTAGTGCCAACCTGCTCACTTGTTTGCTTCTCCAGTTTTACGACTGACCTCAGTCTCTTCAAACTCCATTTCACAGCCAAATTTCTTGGGAATCAACAAGTGAGCTACGGACAAACCCTGTCCTTTGACTACCGCGTGGACAGGGGAGGGAGACACCCATCGGCCCACGACGTGATCCTGGAAGGTGCTGGTCTACGGATCACGGCCCCCTTGATGCCACTTGGCAAGACACTGCCTTGTGGGATCGCCAAGACTTACACGTTCAGGTAAGAGGAGGGGCTGGCAGCGGGCGGAATAGAGCAAGCTGTGACTGCAGTCCCCTGCCTTTGTTCATTCATTCAGTCATCGTGTGCTCATTCAACAAGTGTCTCTGAGCACCTTTTGTGTTCCAGCCATGGTGTCAGGTGCTGGAACGTAGAGACAGGACATGCTTCCTGCCCTTAAGCCCCTGCCAGGCTAATGGGAGAGAGAGAGAAAGAAACGGATGGTGACAGTGCAGCTTGTAAGTGATGCCCTACAGAAGGTGGGCACACATAGGCACAACTAACCCACTGGAGTGGCCAAGGACAGTGTCTCAAGAAGCTGTGACAAGTGAAGAGCAACTCTCTAAGGGGGCCAAAGGGGAAAGGCTGACAAGACAGAGAAAAGGCCATGCTTGAGGAGTTCTGTGATTCAGGGAATGCCGAGCAGTAAGCATGAGTGGAGCCCGGCGTGGGGGAGAGGAATACCCATGCTGGGAAGTGAGGTCTGAGAAGAGGTGGGAGGGAGCTCACAAACGCCCCTGTGCGTGTCTGGGGGGGCGGGTTGCACATTATCCTGTGGGTGGGGATTTTGAGTGGTGGGTACAGAGAGGCTAGGGCGAGGGGCCGTGCCTTCTAAGTACTCAGTACTGATTGGAAGCTTGGAAATCAAGATGAAGAAATACGGCCTTTGTCCTTTAAGCATTCATGGTCTGGTGGGATGTGTAACAGAAAGCAAACATAATACAGCACAAAACTGGCTTCCATGGTGTGCCCGTTCTCGGGGACTTGGGAGGAGAGGAAAGAGTGCCTGGTTCTGCGTGGAGGACAGAAGGAAGCCCAGGACTTTCCCAGGGACAAAATCAAGACAGCCTGTACCTGTCAGCATATGTGGGGGTGCAGAAAGGCATAATACTGGGGGAACTGGCCAGCGGTACGTATGGCTGCTACACAGCATGTGCAGGGGAGATGGACAGATAAGTCTGCAAACCCGAAAAGGACCCGTGCAGTGGTCCTTGTATGTCATGTCCAGGTGCTGAGGTCTTGTTCACGCCTGTAAGGCAACGGAAAGCTTATTAGACAGTGGAGGTTGGGAAGTGGTATGATCAGGTGTGGAGGACGGTTCAGGGAGGGTCCTTAGCGAGACCATCAGGACGCATACACAGTGGTTCAAGCGAGGGCTGCTGGAGGCCCAGCCCAGGGCAGAGGTAAAGCAAACAGAGTTAGAAGACCCACAGCGCACGCGCGATGTGTGCTTAAATAACTGAGTGCAACCTAGTCCCAGGGTACACGCGCACAGCTCTGCTCCCGCCAATACCCATTCCACCTTCTCAGCTTGTTGCACTTACTCTTCGAGATTCAGCTCATAGGTTCTTCCTTTGCGTTAGCCTTTCAAAGTCCCAGTGAGGTTACGGTCACTGCGTGGGTTTCTACGGCACCCTGAACGCACACTCACTGCGCAGTATCAGAATTATCTGTTTGCCCACTGACTCCCCTGGCTGGACGCTGATGACCTTGCCCAAGTGTCCCCGTGTCTTCCATCCTAATACAGCTTCTGGCCCAAACCAAGTGCGCGGTTAACGTTGTTTAACGAATCGGTGAATGAAACAAAAGGGTTAGGGCTGTTCCTGGAAGAGCTAGTCCAGGAAAAACAACAACAACAGAAAACCATAAAAAAGAATTGTTCAGGGACTGGCGATGTGGTGCGGTGAGGCACTTCGACGCCACATTAAGGCAGATTAGATGCAGAAGGTGGAAACTGCCTTTTGAGAAGACTAAGTGAAATGCACTCAGATAACAAATCGTTTAAACAGCAAACCCAAATATGCACGGTAGCTCTTGAGGGTCAGAGCCCCTTGACCTCAGAGGTGTTTCTAACGTCAGGTTTTGCATGACCAAGAACAGAAGTGGTGTCTGAGGACTTGGACCAGTGCAGGTAGCCACAGACCCTGGAGCCCGGCCTCCTCCCCAGGGTCGCCCTCTGTCACATCCTGTGGGGCTTGCGCTTCCCATGGAGCGGGGAAGCTTCACGTGTGCCTCTAGGCCTGTGGCTGCTGGTCCTTTGCCTGTCCCTAAGCAGGACCGTGAAGGGGCGTCGCTGCTCCCACAGTCCCGGGCATAATTTGTATCAGGTGTACAACGGGTAAGGTTTGAAAAGAGTTGGGTTTTTCAGCTTTCGATTTTTCAACCGTGCAGATTGAGTGAGCACCCAAGCAGCCCCTGGAGCCCCCAGCTGAGTTACTTTGAGTACCGGAGGCTGCTGCGCAACCTCACCGCCCTGCGGATCCGCGCCACCTACGGGGAGTACAGTAAGTGACGAGGACAGTGGGTGTCCTTCTTCTCGGGGTTTCATTTAAGTTGCTTCAGCTCGCTAAGGTTCACCTTCCCAAACAAGTACATAAATGAGCTACTTGATGGCTTCAATGCAGCGTCTCTACAGTAAACTTTTAGATTCTAGAAATTATTAAAAAAGAACGTTCCTCTAAAAAGTGCTAAGAGTCTCCGGATTTGGATGAGAGCTGAGGATGTGCAGATGGCCTGCAACAAATGGGCCCGTTCCCCGTGACCCAGACCTCTGGGTTCCGCGGGGAGCTTTCCCTCCGAGGTTCCCCTCGGGGCCGCCCCGTCCAGACGCCATCAAGTGCCCCGTTAATTGCTCTGACCGAACTCCACACTTTGTGTCCTCCTGGTCCCGACTGAAGTTATCTAAGTGAGAGTCCCTTGGGCTTGTTAGTGTCCGTGGGAAAAGGAAGCGTGGCTGCTCGCTCCGTTCCCACGCCACCGACGCAGCGAATAAAGCAGGGCGTAGAAAACGTATTCCCGGGCAGGTCACTGAGCCTTTCCCAAGTGCGGGCAGCTCAGAACACGCGCATGGTCTCACTCAGTTCTCGCGACAAACGTGGGAGGTAGACGCGTGCACTGTTACTCCCACCGTTGCCGAGGGAACACATTCATGCAAAATAGTGTGAGGCGCCCAGGGCACTCGGCTCGCGTGGGCAGAGCCAGAAGTTTAGCTCTGACGTTTCTGACCCTGCAGCCTGTGCGCTCAGTCGTGACGGGCAGCGGTCCCTCCACGCGTGGCACAGTGCGTGCACACCGCCTGTCTGTGACAGTGAGCCAGGGGAGACGAAACCCAAGGGCCGGCCTGACGCCCCAGCTACAGACCTCCCCGCCGGCCGCCCCTCGACTGACCCGTTCTCCCTGTTGCAGGCACCGGGTACATCGACAACGTGACCCTGGTTTCAGCCCGCCCCGTCTCTGGAGCCCCGGCACCCTGGGTCGAACAGTGCGTGTGTCCCGTTGGGTACAAGGGGCAGTTCTGCCAGGACTGTGCTTCTGGCTACAAAAGAGACTCGGCCAGACTGGGACCCTTTGGCACCTGTATTCCGTGTAACTGCCAAGGGGGAGGGACCTGCGATCCAGACACAGGTGAGTGAGATGAGCACCTGGACCAGGGGGCTGGGCGCAGCCAGGTGACCCGGGCCTCCCTCCCGTGGATGAGTCGGAAAGGCTGGAAGAAAGGCTGTGCCTGAACTCATGTGGGAGATGGGACAGGATTAAGGGAAGTCGGGCTGGAGTCAGGAGGATGGACACGGTGCTTTGTTACACTCAATCCTTTTCACTGTGGAAATGCCACAAGGTTGTGGGAAAGGTGCTGGGTTACAGGAAATGGCTGTCGTGGTTCAGTGCCGGGTGGGGGGCTGGTGTCACGTTGCAGGAATTGTGTGGGGAGATCAAAGGCAGTGTCAGGGCCTGGACGAAGGTGCCGACAAACGGTGTCAGGCCACGGGGTGGGGGCAAGGGCGCAGCGTCAGGACCTTAGGGAGAGTAAAGGAAGCGTCTGTCTACTCAGCGTGGGAGAGGGCGGGGTCCCGGGCTGGTTCGGAGCCGGCACCAGGGCAAAGGTGAAGAATGACTGTGCTCCAGAGAAAGCTTCAGAAAGGAGGACTCCGGGCCCCTGAGCTCTGACCCCGGGCAGCCTCCCTGCTCCAGGACGCGGAGAGGCCTTCCCTGCTCATCTCTCTGCCTCTCCATTCTTCCTCCACCTCCCAGGAGACTGTTACTCGGGGGATGAAAATCCTGATGTGGAGTGTGCCGACTGCCCCCTCGGTTTCTACAACGACCCGCACGACCCCCGGAGCTGCAAGCCGTGTCCCTGTCGCAACGGGTTCAGCTGCTCGGTGATGCCCGAGACGGAGGAGGTCGTGTGCAATAACTGCCCGCTCGGGGTCACCGGTAAGGCCAGCGCCTGCTGCGGCCCCCTGTCCTGATGCCGTGAGTTCATGGGCAGAGCTTCTATTCCAAGGAATTTGTAGGGAATGATAACTACTCAGGGCGAGTCTCAATGGGCTCGTGCTAAAGATAAGACTGTTTCAATGCCAGAGAGGCAAAGCGGATTGAGGAAGGGCAGGGGGTACGGGGAGGAAACCCCTGAAGGCGTCTGAAGAGGTTTGTAATTAGAAGATGAAGTTTTCAGACAAAATACATGCTTTAGCTCAGTTTAAAAAAATGAACCAAGGCAAAGAAGGAACCCTTAGTGACCTCTGAAATGTCACTTATCTGTCTGCTGGTCAGTCGGAAAGAAGCGTTCCTTTTTCAGCAGCGGCCTCAGGCGTACTGCTCCGAACCTGCCTTTGCCCACCATCTGGTGACTGGGGAAGTCTCCGGGGGGTGCTGCTGTGTTCCAAAACCCGTGACCCCCGTGGGAGGCCAGAGCCAGCCCCGAGCCTGGGGCCTGCTCCTGAGCCCATTGTTCCGGGGTGCGGGGCAGAAACATCTCTAGACGCCACGTGAGCTTTCTGCCTCTGCGTGCGGCCTTGCTGCTGAGGGATGACCCCGGGCTCGGCCATGTGCTCCTTCCAGGTGCCCGCTGCGAGCTCTGTGCGGACGGCTACTTCGGGGACCCCTTTGGGGAACGTGGCCCCGTGAGGCCTTGTCAGCCCTGCCAGTGTAACAACAACGTGGACCCCAGTGCCTCCGGAAACTGCGACCGCCTGACAGGCCGGTGCCTCCAGTGCATCCACAACACGGCCGGAGTCTACTGCGAGCAGTGCAAAGCGGGCTACTTCGGGGACGCCCTGGCTCCCAACCCAGAGGACAAGTGTCGAGGTAGGACCGCGTCCCCAGATGGGGGTGTGTGCGTACACGTGTAAGGAGGTACAAATCCGCAAGGCCAACAGCAGGTGGCATGGTGACATTACTCTGGTTTCTGCGACTAGTGGGCCCACGCACCACCCCGACCTGTCGTGTGTCGCAGGCTTTAGACCCGTTTCCCCCGTAGCAGAGCTGGAAGACACAGCGGGAGGATGTGGGTTGGGTAACACTGGGGAGGAGAAAGGAATACCGTCAAGTTTACATTCCTAAGTGCAAGAGGAGGTGAGGTGGGGCCACACCCACTGCCCAGCCCCAAGGCGGGTGGGCAGGGACGTGGCTGCCACACCTGCTGCAGGAGAGCAATAAATGACTGGCGACTGAGTCTGAACACACCGAGGTGCGAGGTGCGGAGGGGAGTGGGCTGTGAAGTAGGTTAGGACGCCCTCTCAGGAAGTCAGTGCGATTGATGTATGGGAAGGTAACCGTCAACACGTCTCCTGAAGAGATTCGGCTTCAAAGCAGCAGCTATCTGGAGCATTCCTAGTGCTGCTTCAGATCAAAGCAAGAATGTGCAGACCGGGCCTCTTGCTCAGCCCTTCTTTCAAACCTCTGCATGGGTTACATTCAAGAGGCGAATTCAGTTCTAGGGAGCTGGTCTCACCCCTTGGTCACAGCAGTCCCAGACCAGGCCTGGGACCTAGAACTTAGAAGCATGTTTATGACGAGGTCCAGAGTGGCTCTGGGTACCCAGAGTGGAGGACTCCTGACCCCCTGGGAGTTCTGCAGGGAGTCCAGACCCTCCTCTGACACCAGAGTTCCTGCCCCTGGAAGTGCTCGAGGACCTTGCCCAACCGGGGGCTTCTCCCTAGGGGCACGAGTCCCACCTGCCCTGACCCCAACCTGTGGGTTTGCAGTGATGTGCTGAAAATACCCCATGATAGGGAAAGCCCACATGGCAGTACTGAGTTCAAGTCCAGTTTTTTAACACACCTATTGTGCTCTTCTGATGCTACCAATTAATCTCTATGAGTCTCAGTTTGCTTATATGGATGAATAATATTTAACTCAAAGTGGTTGCAAAGATGAGATAGCACAGAGAAAGTGTACTGTAAACTATATAGTTCTAGTTATAAGAGGCTATTAATAGGGATTTCACTGGCTTCAGACCATACGTTTCTTTACCCAACTCTCTTTTGTCAAGCACCTACCCAATGGGGATCTCGATACTGAGGTCATAATGATGAATAAGTCAGCCCCAGCTGCCACAGAGCTCAGATGCGAGTAAGGAAGACCCAGGTATGGGAGCAGATAACGGCCACACAGTTAGGGGTGTGCGTGTACGCTGAGTGCTGTGTGAGCACCAAGGAGGAAGCCGTGGGGAGAATCACTGCGCCTCCATTAGAATGATGTCTCCCACTCTGTTAGACTCTCAGCTCTTAGAACAGAACGTGGCATGTAGGAGGTGCATAATCAGTCGGACTGATTACATAAAGATATTGTTTTCTTACTGCATTTCATATATCAAAGGCAGCAAGGCAGGAGGAAAAGAGCATTGGCTCTTTTCAAGTTTTCATCCCCTCTGGCCATTTACTTGCTGTGTGACCTGGGACAACTTACTGAACCTCTCTGAGCTCATATTCATTATCTGTAAAATAGAGGGAAATGTGCCTGTATGGCACATATTAGGCCCAGAAGAAGTGTTATCCACCTTGTGAACAGAGCCAGAGTGCTTGCTGAATATCCAACAGGCTTATAATTTAGCAGGAGGAAAACTATAAATGCCACCAAAAAGGATGAACGGTTGTACTATTTCGTCATCCACACACTCAGCGAACTTGCCAGGTGATTCCTGAGACCTAACTGTATTAGGGCTGTGCTTGGAGCCAGAGCCAGGAGATGAATCTAGGTCACTGTGAATCAATGATACGCTACGAATGCCGACTTGACCTTTCCCCTTGTGCTTTGCTACCCCTCCGGTTTCTGGAATTAGCTTGGTAGGAATGTTTCCTGTTTGTTTGCCTTTTGTCTCTAGCTTGCAACTGTAACCCGGCGGGCTCTGAGCATGTGGAGTGTCGCAGTGACGGCAGCTGCGTTTGCAAGCCGGGATTTGGTGGCCTCCACTGTGACCAGGCGGCGCTCACCAGCTGTCCAGCTTGCTACGATCAAGTGAAGGGTCAGGTGCGCATGCTCACCACCCCTTACCCTCACGGGAGACACCTGTAAGTGGCTGTTGGGTGGCTCTGTCACTGATCTAGGAATTCCTTGTCTCCTTGGGGATGGGGTAAGGGTTGCTATCATTTTCTTTAAAAAAATCACTGTGTTAAAAATTCTGTACAATAGGAATATTACTTCAGATTTATGTCCTTGTATGTGTCATTTTCAAAACCCCTGTTGTAGATTTTGTTTTGCTTGGTGTTCACGATAACAGTCCAGTTGGGAGAAAAAGCATTGTGACCTCAGTTTTCAGTGAGCAAACAGTCTAAAAAATTTTGCATTTTTCTTAAAGATTTTATTTTTAGAGGGGGAGAAGGGAAGGCATTAGAGAAGGAGAGAAACATCAGTGTGTGGTTGCCTCTCACACGCCCCCTACTGGGGACCTTGCCCGCAACCCAGGCATGTGCTCTGGCTGGGAATTGAATCAGCGACACTTTGGTTCACAGGCTCGCGATCAACCCACTGAGCCACACCAGCCAGGGCAAATTTTACAGAGTTTTGGAGCCCCATGGCCAGGTGGAACTGAGAGTGCCCCCCATGTGCCCTGCCCCCAAGTTCAGTGACCCTTCTGCTGTACAGGGCTACTTGCCAGGATTCCTTCCAAGAGATGTGCTGGTGAAACAAATGAAGAAAAACATCAACATCCAAAAGATATGAGGAGTCCAGAAGGTTCCAAGGCTGTCTAAAATGGAATGGCTTCCAGAAATTTCTCATTGATAGTCCAAAAAGAATGAAGTGGATGTTGTTAATGATTAAATATTATCTTGCTGGAGTGAGGAACAGGGAGAGGAGGGGCCCAAACGGAACCCTAAATGTAAGACAAACTCAGCCTGCATTTAAAATGTGTCTATTTACCCAGCCTTCTCTAGCACTTATTTGATCCCGGCCCCGCTCTGAGCACTGTAGAAATATTAACTCATTTAGTTTGAGCAATAACTCTATGAGGCATTATGATTATTATTGGTAGTGGTACCCCCGTCTTATGGATAAAGAAAGTGACATGTCCAGAGCCACACAGCTGGTGAGTGGTGGGGCCGGGATTCGAACTCGGAGTCCAGGCTCTCGAGTCTGCCCTTTGAACTACCACGGCCTGCTAGGCACTCTGGGCCTGTAGCTTTTGTCCCCTGGGCTGCTAGGATTCGCCCACATCATCCGTTCTGACCCTCTCCCCTGTGCGGTTTCAGATGGACCAGTTTGCACAGCAGCTGCGGAGCCTGGAGGCGCTGGTGGCGAAGGCGGCGGCGGGTGGCGGAGGAGCGGCCAACGCGGAGCTGGAAGGCAGGATGCAGCAGGCTGAGCAGGCGCTCCGGGACATTCTCAGAGAGGCCCAGATTTCGGAAGGTGATGAAGGCCAACTTCCCTTCAGACAGGGGTCCTAGAAAGCGTTGCCACACTAGGGCGTAGACTCTGCACTGGGTGTCAGTTCGGAGGTGTCTCTGCCCAGCCCTTGCAGTGGGAGGAGGACTGTCTGTGACGTTCTCCTGGGACACGAGTGATGGAGATGGAGGAGTGGTTGCGTGCATTCACGCCCTGGGTTTTCACCATTTTGCTATAGGCCCGTTGAAGCCACTTTTTCAGTCCTGATTATGTTTGATCACTGTGCTGGCTTCCAAAACGCTCATCCTGCCTTTCCTTGTTGGCATTCAGGTGTGATGAGGTCTCTCAATCTCCAGCTGACCAAGGCAAGGAGCCAAGAAAACAGCTACCGCAACCGCCTGGATGAGCTCAAGAGGACTGTGGAAAGGGTTCAGGCCCTGGGCAGCCAGTACCAGAGCCGAGTTCAGGACACTCGTAGGCTCGTCACGCAGCTGCGCCTGAGCCTGGAGGAGGGCGAGTCTTCCCTGCGGAACACGGTGGGTGATGCTGGGGCGGGGTTCTGAGACCACGGCCCGGGCGGGGGCGGGGGCAGGGGGCTGGGACCCAGCTGTGGGCATCGCCGGCCACCGGCTGTTTCTCAGGTCTTCCAGTCCACCTGGCAGACAGCTGAGCTTCTCTCCCCTGAGACAGTCCCAGCTAATTTTGTGTTCGTTAGCCATCTGCAGGTTCCCGCTTGACCGCCTTATGTTATTCTCCTTAATTCATTTCTTAATTCATTAACCATATCCTCCTCATCTCGGCGCTGCCTCTTCCCCCTTCTCGCTGCATATCTTCCAGCTCGTTAGCTCCCAGAGGGCAGGATTTCACTGTGTTCGTATTTACACCCCGGCCCATAGCACAGTGCGCGGCTGTGGTGTTTGTGGCACGAATGAATGAATAACAAAGTGCAAACGAAAAGAAAAGGAAGGCAGGGAGGGAAGGAAGAAGGAAGGAGCCCAAGGAAGACATGGTTCTGAAAATGGGAAATAAAAACCATCGCCCCTCTGATCATCTGGATGATGTAGTTCGCAGTGCGGGAGCAGGGAGACAGTTGCATGAGCACTCTCGTTTCAGAATAAAGAAGGCGAAGGCGACGATTACGTTAGTGGGTGGGTGGGAGAAGACGAAAGGCAATTAGGAGATAATCAGATATTATGTTGAGGAAGTGAAGGATTTAAAAAGTCATGTGTATCCAATAAAAAATAACGTGTATCAATTTTTTTCTTATTATAAAAATAATGTTTATTGTAGAAAATTTAAGAATCCCCTTGTGATCCCATAACTAAGAAATAACCATTAAAACTAGATGTATATTCTACTGGTTTTTAAATACATACGACAATATAAGCCTGTGCATATTTCTGATGCATCTGTACCCACATCCAGACATTTGTTGAACACGGATTTCCACTTTATTTTTGTCTATCCTTTATAAAAATTGTAATGACTGTGGTGACTTGGGACTCCATGTTTCAGGGTGTAGAACGCCATATGGTTCTGGTGGGACAGGTGCAGAACCTGCTTAGCCTCCATGGCCAAGTGCGAAGCCTCACCCGATTTTCCTTTGTCACAGAACATCCCTCCGCCAGACCACTACGTGGGCCCAAACAGCTTTCAAAGCCTGGCTCAGGAGGCCATGAGATTGGCAGACGGGTGAGCACCGTAGGGGGGCACCCCTGCTTCGGACCGTCTCTGTGGGGCTGGACTTGTACAATGCTGCATGGCGCTCACACCCTACGCATTGTTACCTCCAGGCGCCTTTGCAGCCCTTCCCCCACCTTGAACCACCTGCCTTTTAGCACACGTAGGTGGCCACTGGACACGGTCATTTGGCAGAAGTGGGGGATCAGGGTGTTTCTTGCCCAGATATTTCTATGATTCACGACATGGCTTTGGGGTATGTCAGATGTGCTTCCTCGCGCACGCCCCATGAGATGACTCAGCCCTTGGAAAAGAACACGATGCAGCTTTGAGGGACTCCGAGGCTCCCACCCCGAGCCTGGGAACAAGTAGCAACAAGTCTTTGCTGGCCCGTGGGGGCTACGTCTGCGGAGGGGCGACCTCCTCCTGCAGACCAGCCCTGCTGGCCCCCGTGACAGCAGGAAGCTCCTTAGTCCTCGCCTGACTCTAAGCTACCACATGGCAGAGGTTTGCTCAGAGCCCAGTGCTCAGCAGGGGTGCACACTCTGTTGGTCCCAAGTGGAAGTCAGCCTGCAGAGGGGCTGGCTTGTGTTTCCTAGCACCGGCTGCCTCCTGAGTTTGTTTTGACCACTTTCTAGAACCAGAAGGACAGGCGCATGTGGGAGGGGGGTTTATCGACAGGCTGTGTCCCTCCTAGGGGTGGCCTAGTTTTGAGTCATAGCAAAAACAAGTAGGGGGTCGGATGAAATAAGATCTAGGGTTTTTTTCTTTCTTTCTTTCCCGAAGAAAACAGCTCATACATGCAATGTTCTATCATCCCGCTCCCGCTCCCAGCCAGCGCCCCTTCCCACCCCAGGCCTCTCCTGATTGTGCCATGAGTGGGAGAGATCCCCAGAAAGTCTGCGCCAGGGGGCTGCTCCCTCTGCCGCTCCACAGTGCCTCCAGTCCCACCTAACTGGGCCACTCCTCTGGGGCCGTTCTGGCCAAGCCAGTTCCCTCACTCCCTTCTCTGCATTTAAATAAAAGGCCCCAAGGAAGCTCTTGCTAGGAAAACTCCAATTCTTTATTTTGAATTCTTTCAGCCATGAGGAGTCAGCCAATACTATGGAGCGACTGGCAGGGGAAACCGAAGATTATTCCAAACGAGCTCTCTCACTGGTGCGCAAGGCCCTTCAGGAGGGAGGCGGTGGCAGCGGCGGCAGCGGCGGCCTGGATGGCCCCATGGTGCAGGGGCTGATGCGAAAGTATGTCTCAGCAGGTCCTCACGGGGACCAATGTCATCTGCATCTTCCTAGGGCATAATGCAAACCACACGTCTTTAAAAAGCATTAGTAATAAGAGGGACAAGGGAACAAGAGTGTTACTTTGGGGCAAAACAGGTGCCTTTCAGGCTGGAAGAAGAAACGGTTGGCTAATCTAAGTTAAATTTGTGTTTCAATTGAGAAGTCACATGCTTGGAGATAGGTCACCCTCTGTGGTGTTTGAAGGTTGTGAGTAAATCCATCTGGTGGCATGGAGGATATAAAACAAATATATTTATATTATCAAGAATTGGGAAACTTGGGTTGAATTTTCCTGATCCAACCTGTACTCATTTTAAGGCTTATGTTTCAATGGTGGAGTGGAGCACATGTTTGACTACATACTTTTAAGACAGCAGGATGGATTTTTTTTTTTACCTTTAAAAGTAAAAAGAGTGGCCCTGACTGGTGTGGCTCAGTGGACTGAGCACCAGCCTGTGAACCAAAGGGTCACTGGTTTGATTCCCAGTCAGAGCACATGCCTGGGTTGCAGTCCAGGTCCCCAGTGGGGGTGCGTGAGAGGCGACCACACACTGATGTTTCCCTCCCTTTCTTTCTCCTTTCCCCTCTGTCTAAACATAAATAAATAGATAAAGTCTTTAAAAAATAAACAAAAAGAGGGAATTCTCACAAAGTCCTGTTTCCCCCTCTGCAGACTGGAGAAAACCAAGTCTCTGGCCCAGCAGCTGTCCGGCGAGGCCGCTCACACGGACAGTGAAGCGGAGAGGTCTCACCGACACAGTCTCCGCCTCCTGCATTCCGCGTCTCAGCTCCAGGGGGTCGGTGACCAGTCCTTGCAGGTAGGGGCAGCTCCCCTGCGTGCTGACGTACAGAAGAGGAGCCGTAACGCTTCTCCTCGGGGGCTCCACAACACCGTCCAGTCGTTCAGTTTTGTCTCCACGCTGACCCTTCTTGCTTCGATTGGGAAGAGTGTGCATCCTTCTCATTGTCCATTTCCATGCTCTTTAACCCCAGTCTTGGTCTTTGAAAAGGTCTTGGCTCACATCCTGAACCAATGAATGGATAAAAGTTTTATATCTCTTCCCTACTTCTGGGGACGGCTGAAACCCGTGGGGAATTCTTATGGGTAAAATTTGATATTTTCATTTGGGTAAAATCTATAGTACATCTCTGTAGAGCCACTCAGAAGACTTGTGCTCTTCTCAGAAGTCTTGCCTTATTTCTGTCATCAATTCCAAACTTAGGTTAAGAAGACTGGGCTTTCTACCCACCACGAAAAGCACGCACAGTGGTTCCCACAAAAATGTTCCCGAGTGTATGTAACAAAAACATAAAAAAATAATAGTAAAAACATACACGAAACCTGTTTGAGGATGGTGGTATGGGAAGGAAAGGGGGAGGAGATGCGGCAGTACGAACGTGAAGTTATAAAGTAAGTCATGGGAACGTACTAACACACAACCTAGGGAAGGTAGTCAGCGATACCATCATAACGGTCTGTGGTGGCAGAGGACTGCTAGACTTACGGCGATCACTTTGTAAGGTTGAATCACCGTGTTGTACACCTGATGCTACCGCCATATTATGTGTCAACTGTAATTAAACATAATTAAAAAAAAAAAGAAAACCTGTTTGATGCCCGAAGGATCTGCTTTAGGCACAGAGCCTGTTAGACTTTGGGCACGGATTGTTCTTGTTTTCAAACAAGGATGGCAGGTCCCAAGAAGACCGGTGTGGTGACTGATGAGCAGAAGGTTGACTCATTCATCTCCTTGGGCTCACAGGTAGAAGCAAAGAGGATCAGACAAAAAGCTGATTCCCTCTCCAGCCTGGTGACGAAGCATATGGACGAATTCAAGCGTATGCAAAGCAACCTGGGAAACTGGGAAGAAGAAACCCGACTGCTCTTACAGAAAGGAAAGAATGAGAGACAGGTATCTTTTTAATCTGTTCACTCAGCGAAATGTATTAAACGCCGACCATGAGAATAAATATGGAGAAAGACACACGGGAAACTCTCTAATAGGCCTTGGTACTGCTGCATGTAGCAGAAGTAACAGAGGTCCAGAGAGACTGATGCACTTAGCTCAGCTCCGCCCACTGAGTCAGCCCTCAAGTCTAGGAAGAGGACTCGGGCCTCCTCGGTCCAACTGTGGTCCATTTCTGTCTGCTCACTTGGCTGCGGGAGGTGTCTAGAGTTTAAAATCATGATTTGCAAAACCGTTCTTATCTCTGCTAGTAGACTAGAGTTCAAGAGTGTTCTCTACATGGGGTCCTGCTGAGTCGTTGGGATATGGAGTCTGCTCTGTCCCAGATTGTGGGGGGCTTTGCTACAGCACCCCTCGACTCTCAGGTGAATCTCAGCACTCTGTTGTCACAAAGAGAAATGTGTCAGAGTGATTTCACGGGTGGGACCGCACTTCCCAGGTGTGTGTTAAATTTGCACTAATCTTGTTCTACCTGCCTGTTGACAGAACTCGGCTCAGCTACTTTCTCGTGCCAACCTTGCTAAAAGAAGAGCCCAGGAAGCACTAAGTATGGGCAATGCCACTTTTTATGAAGTTGAGAACATCTTGAAGAACCTCAGAGGTGAGTAATTCATGATTCAGTTCCCTTGAGCACTTAAAAGGTGTAACCATGACTTCGGCTTATATGGAATCTTCATATATCTCTCTAAGTGACAGGTATGTTGGGAGTATTAATAGATGCTTAATAAATAACTTTCTAAAGAAAAGGACTTCATTAGCATTTGATGCAGTGCGAAGAATTGAACTGGGTGTCAGAAGGCTTGAGTTCCCAACTCTGCTGGGCCTCATGAGCAGGCTGAGCTGGCTGTGCGACCACGGGCAAAAGCCTTTCCAGAACTCAACTTTCTCTTTAAAGGAAGGAGGTTAAGCCAAGTGAAGTCTAAGGTCCCTCACAGGTCCAACATCCCACTACCATACGGGTATTTTTTCTCTTTTTGCTTCCTTTCCCTTTCCCTTTCCCTTTCCCTTTCCCTTTCCCTTTCCCTTTCCCTTTCCCTTTCCCTTTCCCTTTCCCTTTCCCTTTCCCTTTCCCTTTCCCTTTCCCTTTCCCTTTCCCTTTCCCTTTCCTTTCCCTTTCCCTTTCCCTTTCCCTTTCCTTTCCCTTTCCTTTCCTTCCTTCCTTCCTTTTCCTTTTCCTTTTTTTGGTATACTGGTTGGTTCCAGTATAGATTGCTTAGTGGTGATGACGGGATAAACTTTGTCACAGCATTCGGATCCCAGGAGATTTGGGTTTGTGCCTTAGAGCTTTGCTTAAAGCTCCAGGATTCCTCACTAAAGAACAACCACAAAAATTCCTAAAGTCCTGGGATTTTCTTCACAAAAAGTGCCTGTCTACCTATTCTATACAACCCTCAACTGTTGGCATTGACAGCTTAAAGGTTAAGGCTCCGACTTGTAACTTTGGGCTTCCAAGATCCCACTCCCACAGTGCATGTCCAATCCCAGAGATTCCTCCACTTCGCTTTCTCCTGCCTCCCTAATCTGTCACCAGTGAATTTGATGTGACCCCTGTACACCTCCTCCTTCGACTGTAATGTATAGGGTAAGGCACAAAACTGCCATTCTCGGGAGCATTTTCTCAATCTGTTGAGATTACTTCCCCGCAGTTGTTGTCAGTGTGGCTCAGATAAACTTGTAAACATGCTTTTAAAAATTCTACCTGCTTCTAATTCACTTTGGGGTCTTAAGATTCTCGCAGTAATGGGGGCCCAGGGCAGGCTGATTGTCAGTTCCTCTAAGCACAGGATGAATTATGGTCCTTTCAAGGCCTCCTTTAAGATGTTTTCTCTTAGATAAGGAAGAGTAATAGCCACACTCCCCTCTCCTCATTCCCAGGCAGTAATATCACTCTTTCCAGAATTTTTCTCTTTTTTTTTAAGATTTCATTTATTTATTTTCAGAGAGGGAAGGGAGGGAGAATGAGAGAGAGAGAGAGAGAAAGAGAGAGAGAGAGAGAGAGACATCAATGTGTGGTTGCTGGGGGTCTTGGCCTGTAACCCAGGCACGTGCCCTGACTGGGAATTGAACCTGCGACACTTTGGTTCGCAGCCCGCACTCAATCCACTGAGCTGTGCCAGCCAGGGCCCAGAATTTTTCTTAAAAACTTCAGCCTCTTTCACCTTCCTTTGTAAGTTATTGTATAAGTTTGCCCTCATCTTCATGGCTGTGTTTCCTTCTGTCCATTTCAGAGTTTGACCTGCAGGTTGGAGACAGGAGAGCAGAGGCCGAAGAGGCCATGAAGAGACTGTCCCACATCAGCCAGAAGGTTGCAGACGCCAGTAAGAAGACTGAGCGAGCAGAAGCAGCCCTGGGTGGTGCAGCTGCTGACGCCCAGGGGGCAAAGGACGCGGCCCGGGAGGCCCTGGAGATCACCGGCAAGATAGAGCAGGTCAGGAGGCATGGAGAGGCAGGTTGGCGCGAGCGGTGCCCAGCACCAGGGTAGCTCGGGATAGGAAGGGGAATACCGAAGCGTTCATGGGCTCTTTTCAACCCAGAAGGCTCTGAATCCTGCTGTGGCCTCTGGTGGCCCCAGATCCACTTGGGCACCCCCTTTGCTTGACTCACAGCCCATCACTGACTGAGTGCTGGAACCCCCTAATCTTCAGCTCCCTTTTTGGACAGCATCATGAGCAGAACCACTGGAGATTGTGTCTGTACAGACTACTGTATTAGCTTCCTAGAGCTGCTGTAACAAAGCACTATGACTGGGAGGGCCTACAGCAACAGAAATGGATGATCCACAGCACTGGAGGCTAGAAGTGTGAAATCCAAGCGTCAGCAGAGCCACGTTCCCTCCGAAGCTGTGGGTGGAAACATTCCTAGCTTCTGGTGGTGACTGGCCATTCTTAGCGTTCCTCAGTTTGTACCAGAATCCCTCCAACTGCTGCCGCTGTCATCACATGGGGCTCTTGTCCTGGCTGTCTCTGACTCTTCTTACAAGGGCACCAGTCATATTGGATGAGGGCGCCCATTCCACTCCAGCGTTGGGGATTAGGACTTCAACATTTTGGGGGGCGGGACACAAGTCAACCCATAATAGTGATCATCAACGTTTTCATTCGAGATTATGAAACTCCGGAGTTCTAGGCCCCTTGTCTCTATGTTCTAAGTCTAAGCTCTAGTAACTCATTTTTCTCTTCTCTTCCACCATGGGCCGGGCTCTGCTCGGTGCTGGGCATGTGGAGATGAGAAAGGCTCAGTCCTTCTCTCCCAGGCACATTCAGTAATGGGGACAGACAGATCAGGGACACAACCTGTACGCTAAATGCTCCTCCAGGAGTGCATCTCAGCTGGGAGAGAGCTTCGTGGTTCTACCACTTCTACCACTTCTACCAAGCCAGTGCTGCTCCAGAAAGCGCAGAGAGTGCTCTTGACATTGGGACTGACCTCTCTCTCTCTCAGACCACTCGTTAACTTGCAAAAACAAATCCCTACCTCCAAGTCCTTTGAGAGTAGAGACCAGTGTCATGTGCCTCTCTTTATATGGCTTCTACCATAGGGACATCTGCAATTTGGTGCTTAATACTAGCTACTGACATTGATCAGGTTTGTCTTCATAAAAACAAAACTCGAAGCCATAGCCCATTCATTCTCTGCACCCTGTGCTCAACTGTCTCAGGGAATAAAGTCATTCAGAAGACTACGGCAGCAAAGAAACATGACAGAGGATTAGAAGAGTTTCTCTCCCTTTGGGTTTTCCCAACCGGCTCCTATTGTGTTCACCATTCCGCGAGCGTTGGCCCGAGAAGGAAGCAGTGTCTCAGTGCTGACCCTCCTTGTCCCCAGAGATGTGCCCCCCAATTAACTTGTTGGAGGCAGAGCTTGGGAAAGGGTGTGTCCCCAAGCCTGGCCCTCTCCTTGCTCAAGCTGCTTACTCCATCAGGGCCTGGCTGCAGCTGTCTTTTTTCTCCACTTGCCTTCGGAATGTTTTCGTGCCTCACCCCTCTCTTTCCTTCCGTCCCTGGCTGCTTTCCTTCTCCCAGGAGATCGGGAGTCTGAACTTGGACGCCAATGTGACAGCAGATGGAGCCTTGGACATGGAGAAGGGACTGGCCACTCTGAAGAGTGAGCTGAGGGAAGTGGAAGGAGAGCTGGCCAGGAAGGAGCGCGAGTTCGACGTGGACGTGGACATGGTGCAGAAGGTGAGCTCCCGCCGCTTCGCACCGGAGATCCCTCTCACGTGCCCACGGGGGAGATGCCCTCTCAAGACGAGTCTGTGTGTGTTTTCCTCAGGTGATTTCAGAAGCTCAAAGGGTTGACAACAGAGCCAAGAACACTGGAGTTACGATCCAAGACACGCTCGACACCTTGGACAGCATCCTACACATAATAGGTAGGTGGAGTACCCACTGGCGCCCAGCCCCACGCTCGAGGCCTCTTCCTGGGAATTGAACCAGGCCTCGTCCTGGCGAATGGGAGTCTCCGCTTTCCTTAAGGGTAGGCATCAGGAAGTTTGCTCGGTTTCCAGGCCCCGATGCTTCGGGCAGGCTACTTCACATGTCCTGCACTCTGTGTTAGCACGTGTCTCAGGTGGGTAATTACGTCCCGCAGAACGTGGAGTACATTGTAGAGGCAGGGTTTGAACTTCAGAGCTAAAGGGAAGACTGGGCCGCTTGACAGTCCTGCTAAGGATTCTGGCCTTGATCCTGGGGAGCCAGTGGACAGCTTTAAGCAGGGGAATAACATCATCACTGTCTATTTCAGACACCTATTTCAGGTCCCTGGGGAAGCGTGTAGAGGAGAGCTTGAAGGTGGGTCAGACAAAAGGCAGGGTGGGACGTTTTTAGGAGGTTGGTGAAGGAACTGGGGAGAGGTGATGGAGCCTTCTCTGAAGCAGTGGAAGCGGCGAGGGGCGAGAATCACGTGCGGACTCTGCTCAGCGTTCCTCCCCAAACCACAGTTCAACCTGCACGCAACCCGCCGTGGAGATTCTGGAGCTGCCTGGCAGATGACGTCAAGGGGGAGGTCCATGCGACAGTGCAGAGTTTTAGGGTAAAATAGATGGCACAGCGTGCCAGCAGCTGAGCCTTCTCCACGGGATCCCTCCCTGAGAAAACCGACATGAATTAGAATTCTAGACTTAGGTAGACGAGTATCGGGCCTGCAGTCGGCCTGTTTGATCAAGCCTGGACTCCAGCAGGCCAGGCACTAAGTATTTGGTCCTCCACCCCGGCCACCTTCAGGAAAAGGCTCACTTCTCCTGCTTCCGTTAAAAAAAAAACCAACTTCGAAACCGCGTTTTCTGCGGAGCGCCCCCCACCCCCCTGGGAGATCGGTGCCGCCTGTGTTGCCGCACGACGGGCCTGCTGCGTGCTCCAGTGCGCCCCAAGGTGCAAGCAAAACACCCTCCAAGGGTAAAACACACGGCCCAGCCAGGATTTCAGCAGCTTCGCTTAGTGTTCTGAGCAAAGTGCTGAAACAGGAGGGCCTTTAGAGAGAAAACAGGAGCATGTGGAGAGAAGGGTAGAGGCGAACTCTTCAACCTTTACTGTGCGCCAGGCCCGACGCCGGGTGTTGTTACGGTATAACATCATTCTAGTCTTCTCAAGGTCCTATGAGGTGGGTTTTACTGCTTTTATTGTTTTATTTCACCCGAACACAAACTGAGGCGCAGTGACGTTGATAATGTCCCCCAGGTCCCACAGTCACTTGCGCAGGCAGCATTCGAGCTGCAGTCTCTCGGTCTCCGGCGCTCCTGCGGTTCCGGAGCCGCTCATGCTGCCCCCGGCCCCCCACCCCCACCACAAACACAGTGACTTTGTCCCCAAGGTGCCTTAACTCTCCCTTCGTGCCGTAGGGCCCTAGATTTGCGCATTCTCCCCGGCCCCCAGGGGAAAGATTGACCCATTTTTGTCATGGTGGGGATTCTACTCTACTGGTTCTCTCCAGCCTTGGGCAAACGGCATTCTAATTGCTCTAGATATAATAAACTCATGCCATCAAATGCTGTCGTCATGCCATCAAATGCTGTTGTCCAGCTTAGGTAGGTGAGGCCACCTGACCTTGACTTTGAATTAACCAAGGGCTGCTCAAACCTCTTCAAACCACATGAGTCTGGCCAGGTGCTCTTCTTGCCGATAATCAGTTTTAGATGGCTTATGGCAGGGGTGTCAAATTCATTCTCACCGGGGGCCACATCGGCTTCACGGTTGCCTTCACAAGGCCAAAATAACTTTAGGACTGTATAAATGTAACTACTTCTTAACTGTTGAGGAGGTGAAATTACGTTCGGCCCTTTGAAGGCAACCAAGAGGCTGATGTGGCCCCCAGGGAAGATGAGTTTGACACCCCTAGCTTCTGGGTAAAATGTGCCTGGACAAATATAACTGCATTTCATTTTGGAAATAAACCAGTATCTAGCTAGATCCCCAGTTTCGGGCCAGAATGAAATCTTGCCTCCTTTCCTGACAGCTGGGATCCATCCTCCAAATAGCAAAGCATATCGTGGGCTCTACAGAGCCTGAAGCCCAGCCAGTTCCTGAAGGTTCTCCAATGGGAAACAGCGAGATATTGCCTAAGGGCGGCTCCGAAAGCTTAATCTGGGGTCGATTCTGATTCTAGGGTGAGCTCAGCCTTTTAAAAATGCCTGGCATGTTGTTTGCTCCAGGCGGGGGAAAGAGGAACCAGTTAAGGGTATAGAGGGCTCAGATGTGTGTCGGGAAATCCAAGCATGGCACTTCTGTGAACTCCTTCCTCCCTCTCCCCGCCAGACCAGCCCGGCAGTGTGAATGAAGAGGGGCTGATTTTATTGGAGCAGAAGCTCTCCAGAGCCAAGACCCAGATCAACAGCCAGCTGCGGCCCCTGATGTCAGAGCTGGAAGAGAGGGCGCGCCGACAGAGGGGCCACCTCCATGTGCTGGAGACCAGCATAGATGGGATTCTGGCTGACGTAAAGAATTTGGAGAACATCAGGGACAACCTGCCCCCAGGCTGCTACAACACCCAGGCGCTTGAGCAACACTGAGGCTGCCGTACAGATTTCTCAACAGAGGTTCTTGGGGTACAGACCCCGTGGCTCAGGAGCTCTCTCACGCGGGTGGGGTGGGACGTGGACATTGGAACATGTTGCACAGGCGTGCTCAGGTCAACTGAAACTGATCCCACGCCCGAGACCCTGGCCAGACAGATGTCTCGTTGCTCCAAAGGGATGCTATTTGCTTCTTGGTGCTGGGCAACGAGGCAAATAGCATTGAGTTGGAGGCCGATCAAGGGCCCGGACCCCAAGGGATAGATTGGGTGGAAGGACAAAGTCTCCGGGCAGATGATTGCTGCAGGATAGCCACGAACCGAGTCCTGGAGTATGGACAAGTGCTGCCGTGTGACAGCTCATTCTTTGAGTCATGTGACCAAAGGAAAATGTTTTAATATTGTTCACGCACAAAATTCTTCCCCATGTCAGCAGAGAGTGAAGTCAAGTCCCCCCATGGCCAGTAAAATACTATTGACACACAATGTCCAGTGTTCCCGTTAGGCAGCGTTCCTTCCACTTGCACCCAGTACCTAAACACACGCTCCCTTTAAAGCTGGAAGGAGTGAGCAGTGAGGGAGCGAGGAGCTGCATGGCCCATTGGAGCCGCGGTGCCCGCTGGCGCCCTGCTGCCTTCGAGCTCTCCTGGGCCCCAGAGGGACGTCCTGCCCCTGGGGATGCCACGGCGTCATCCCTCCAGCATTCTCTCCCGGCCCAGCGACCACTGGGAACTCACTTTTGGGTTTCCAAGTGGTAGAAAATGTGGCTTGGGCCATGAAAGAAGTACAGTATTGTCTAGAAGATTTATTAGTCCAAATTCAGTCCCACTTTTCAAACACTCAAAACTATTTGCCGCCATGTGTTTTATCTCATCCTCTCTCTCGCCCTATGGAAGAGAATGTTTCTGCTCACACTTGAGCTGGGCAGAATCTCATCCTTCCGTTCTTCCTTCCATCCATCCATCCATCCATCCATCCTTACATATATTTATTGAGTACCCCCTGTGTGACAGGGGTTGGGGGACAGTGGTGACATAGGGTCTGCCCTCACAGAGTTGATTGTCCAGTGAGGAAGACACACATTAAAAAATGACATTTTAACTTACAATTCCTGGTCATCACACATGGTGTTTATTGCAAACCCGCTGGTCTGCAACCTCTGTTCTCAACAGAACATATGTTGCAAGACACTCCCGTGGGTGCAGTTGGGTCTTGGCAAAGCTGAGACGGCTTCTGGGCTGTGCACACGTCTTTGCATTCCAGCGGTCACTCTGCCCCTTTCCACAACCTATTGCAACAGACTCTTGAGTCATGGTAAGGCCAGTGGGGATTGCTGGGAAGACCAGAGGCACTCCCCCACCCCCCGCACCCCCGCCCACCCCCAGCTAGGAAAGCTGGAGTTCCACCTCATCCCCTGTGCATCCTCAGCTTTTCGTGGACATGTTTCAAGTAAAAATAATTCCTAGATGCCTGTGGTCAGTATCTAATCTGTTAAACCTGAAGCCTGAGGTGGAGGTTCCAGAACAGCGGGAACGAAAATGCCACGGAAGGAGCAGGGTGTCCTAGAGTTAGCATTTTCAATCCTTTTGCTGAGCAACTGGCCTGGCCCCCTGCAACCCTGAGAGAACCTTTTGAGATGTAATTGGTGCTGTCTCCTAGGCATGAAGGAGGACTTATTTCTGGAACGCCCTGAGCAAGGTGGCGGTTATAATGAATATTGTTGTCTTTTTTATCAGCTATAAAATAAAAGGAAAAAAATCAGTAGCTTGTGGTACATTGCCCATGCTTTCTAATACATAGATGTACAATAAATTCAGACCCTGAACTGGCCATCTACCCATGGGGCTGAGGAAAGGATTCTGCCCCGTCCACACCAACCCTCCCCACCTGCCAAACACTGACACGTCTGATCTCGTTGCTTTACCTTCTGTGGAAGTGACCTTACGATCCAGTCTCGACAGACTCAATCACATGTCCTACAACTCTCTTCCTTTAGTTAACTAGCGCCTAGAAAATGTAGATGTATTAATTCAATTCACATCGACCTAAACATGTGCATAACTCAAACGCAGGAGATGTTTTTTTCTTGCTCCCGTGGTGTGCTGAATGGGGAGCAGGTTGGCAGGGTGGCCCTCCACGTGGTCCCTGCCATGTATAACCTGTGACTTTCAGGGTTCCCCTGGGAATTATCTTTCCAGTGGGCGGCAGGGAAAGAAGACGTGGGAGAGAGACACGTGGAAGGTTTTTGTGGGCCAGGCCTGCATTCCGTGGTCTAGACCACATCTAACTTGCAAGGGGCCTGGGGAACATGGTCATTTGCAGAAAACCACTTCTCGGGGACAATTCGACACTAGGAAAGGGGAGAGGGCATCGTCAGTGATCGGCTCTCCATCTCTGCTGCATATATGAAGAGGCAGCACGTGCATCAGGGAGCTTCGGGAGGGGTCCGCTGGTTAACTACCAAGGTGCATGCAATCCCAAACAGATTCCTCAGCGGGATAGGTTGCTAAGAGAGTCATAAGAACGTCTTTCCTGGGGAGAGATGACAATAGAAGAGTGACTCATGTGACTCCTTTGGTTTAGAAATGATTCCTTCACTTCTGAGTTTCTCGGAAGCTGTCCTTAAGGACAGAGGAAGGGCATGTGGCTCACAGGTAGCCCACCCAGGACTTAGCCCCTGTTACCCGTCTCGAACGGACCCTGCCACCTTAAGGGAGCCTTTCTTCCAGTGTGTCATCAGTGTTTACAGTCTGTGATAAAAACTTTGTCACACTCCTCCTCCGAGAGTTTGCTGACTAATTGTGCCGATGGTAGGCGATTACGGACATCATCCTCTACTTTGACTCATGGGGATTTCTGTGGGAAGACGGGGGTAGACACGAAACTGCCCACAGACTGGGACCTCCTAGCAGATGTGTTTTCTATCTTATCCCGGGATGCGTTTTCCTTTCAGTATTCTTGGGAGGCCGGAGACAAGGGTAGGAAAATGTCCAATGTTTGGAACAAGTCTCAAGGACCAGGAATATGTTTATTGTGTCTTCTTTTAAGTTTGCGTGGTCATAGAATGTTTTGGCTTCCTGCTGTGGTCCAGTTTTCCCTCCTGAGAAGCAGATATTAGATGTCTCTCTCTGCTTTTGTCATACTATGGCCTACATGAAACGTCCTAGAAAATTCGAAGATCTACGTAGGGGTCATAAAGGAAGAAATGTGTATGCATGTATATGTTAATTGACATTTAGAACGTATATTCGATAAGCTCACAAAAGTTAGCATATTAAAACAGTGTTTATACCTCATTTTAAACAAGTTCTCATCATGATATACTTTCAGGACAGAGGAACAAGTAAGTGTTCAGCTTTGTGCCAGAATAGCGAACATAAAGACAAGGAATCAACTTACGTGGCATTTCGAGCATTCTGGGCCAACAAACCCGCACAGGTACACACAGAGCCTGCTAATCCCAATTTTCATCAACAACAGCAAAAAATACTAAGTACTAAAATGATTTATAAAAAATACACACAACTGATCTGACAAACAAGTAGCTAAGCCTTAAATGAGCTGGGCTCACAGGAAATTGCTATTTCACCTTTTGAATCACACCTGATATGAGCTAGTGACCATCACCATTTAGACCTAAACCAATAATACATCGTGTACATCACAACTAAAAATGACATAAAAGCTAACAGTTACTGCAGGACTGAACAATTAATAATTTTTTTTTGCTTTTTTTACCTTGCTAAAACGATGTATGAGTTTCATAATTGGTCTTACTTAAGATCTTTTAAGCCAAAAAAGTTATTCAGGTTTTTAGTTTTCAGAAATATATTTTTATTGTGTAAAGACCTAATTTCATTAAGGGGCCAAAGCTAACCAATACCAGACTATGCAGATTAGGTGGAATCTAAGATTTGTTATTTTTTTTAACTGAGAAAATTTAGGCACAATTCACAAAATTGCTAATTTTTCTTCCCTGCTTATGATCCTTGCGTGTGTTGCATATACGTTCATACTCGCACACACGTCATCAGCTAAACCAGGCAGAGAATCTCCTGCTCTAAGAACTTTTTACAACTGTTGCCTCCTGTCTCATAGGCCTATGAAGAAAAAGAGATCAATTCCACAGCCCACAGAGAAGATTCTAGACCAGGACACGAGGATCTAGTAGCATTGTATAATTTATTAACATAATTGTAACATTGCTGATAAAACTTTCATCTGACTAGTCTAAGCAACAAAATTTTACTCAAAATATTTCACTGTGAAATGGCGTTGCAACTCGAATGTAGTTTTTATTGAATGAATTGGTTTCCGGAAAGCAAATCTTACTCTTAAAATGGCAACTTGAGTGACCAAAAAGTGATTGAAAAAAGCTTCCCCCTCCCCACGCCAACCCTTGAGACTTCCCAGATCAAGCGGCGCTCTGGACCCTGGGACTGAGGGAAGAGCGTGACTCAGCCCTGATTGGAACAGGTTAGTAGGACACTCCAAACTTACATGACGGGGAAACCACGTGACCGGCCCAGTTCACCGAGCAGCTCTAGGAAGGTGCAGACTGGGCGAATTCGACACAGCATCTCCACCATCATTTCGGCAATGCTACTCCTCAAGTGTCCTAATTGGATGAGCTACAAACTGGTCCCTGTTTCCACCCTTTCCACCTCCTCTGTCGGCCTTCCTGCAGTAGCCGTGGGAGAGATCCTGAGCTTTTCCTATTCCTCTGATGTTTGCATCACTCTTCTGATGAATGAAACGTAACATGCTTCTCTGTCTTAGTCCCCTAAAGAGTGTATGTGTGTGTGTGTAGTTTGGATGAATAGATTCGGGCTGTTAAGATACAAGTTGTTTTTCCCTGTAATTCCCTGCCTTTTGCTGTAGATTGATTATTGAGTCTCGCTTTCTACTTAAGTACAACAGCAAATTCTTTTATTCTTTTTGAGAAGCTGGAGCATGAGACCCGAGAACGCTGGGGAAAGGTAGGTCAGGCTGAGACAGGAAGAATGGTGTCTCTAGAAGCTCTAGCTCTGGGTATCAGGCACTTCAGTAAGAGACTTCCCGCCCCTGTTCCTCTGTACATTCAGGAAAATGAAAGCAAGAGAGGTTGCCGGGGGGTAGGGGTGGCGTATGAGGTACCAGCTAGCAGCAGACTGCTCCTGAGGGCCATTCCTTGAAGACAGTCCTTGACACTTCAAAGGGTTTCCCTCAGCCTGTTCTCACTCATCTCAGCCACTTTCAGAAAAACGGGAGGGACTTTTTTAGTGGTGGGCAGAAAGCTCAGCTCCAGACCCCCCTTGGTATGATCACTCCAGCCCACGCATTTCCCACAATCCCTGAGCCAGGCCGGCCTTGGGTTGGGCTTTGTAGGAAGGGGCAGGACCCAGAGGGGGAGCCAGGGCCTGGAGGTTAGCCTCTGGGCACCTGGGGCACTACTTCAAACTCTGAATCCTCTTTCTGGTGTTGTCACTGGCTGGGTAACAGTGTCCTGCCCTGGACTGAGAGAGTGGTTCAGACCTCCCCCTAGCAAACGACGAATGGCCCAGGATGGGGGATGGGCAGTTCTACCCAGAAGGAGATTCACTTTCCTTTTCCTCGTCCAAAAGGAAAGCTACTATAACACGCTCCCTGTGATGTACCAAGAACAGCCCCACTTCATTCCTAGAAATCTGCTTCTACTGCCCCTGTCTTTCTCCTCAGCTCATCTCCTCTCCCTTCCTCTGGGCCTTCCCAGCCCCACACTGAGTGCGTGGCGCAGCCCAGTTCCCTCGTGGGCTGTGGGCTAAACAGGGCTTGACCACAGAGTCCAGCAGAGTAGCAGAGTGGACTGAAGACACTGAAGACACCTTGTCTCTCTCAGTTCTGCTCAGGTGGAGCCTCACGACAAACAGTCCCCACGAGATCCAGGTCCCTGAGGCTGCCGTGCTCCCCCTGGGAACCCAGCGCCCGCTGTTCCTTCGTTTCTTCGCCTAGACAAAGGCTCTTCTGTCTTTCTGTCCCCAACACTAGTCTCACCTTGAGCATTCTGGGTCTTTCTTAGCCTTCCACAAAGCACCCCTTTCTTGGATTCAGAGAGTCACTTTCTAGGATTTCCTCCAAGCTGCTGAGATTTCTTGACGTCTAAGGGAAACCCAGCTCCGGCCTTCCTCACCATCACATGTGTCCCCAGGACTGCCACAGACAAAGCCGTACGTAGGAGGCACCTGGGTCAGACATACTTTAAGAGCAAGATGCCAGGTAAAGCTGAGACGAGCAGAAACCACATATTAGCTGGTCAATATCACGGGAACCGGAGGGGCAGAAGCCCTGGATGTGATACTAGGGGTCAGGGAAACGGTATCTTTTTGCTGGGCTCTGAACTTGCTGGGACTTGGGACCAGCCGTTTAACTCAGGGGCTCTCTGCTCCCTCATCTTGTAAAGCAGAATGTTGAATCAGCGCATCTCTGAAGTTCTTTTCATTTATGAATCCGTGACCCTTAGCCAGACACCGAGACCCGAGAGCAGAATCTTCCTCCCTTCCTCTGCACACTATTTCCATAACCCAAGCGGCATCGCACCCTCCTGGGAGCTACCCTGCCCGCGCTCTTCTGCTGACCCCGGTTCCTTCCCGGGGGGCACCCAAGGATGTGGCAGATGTGACGTGTGCGGTGAAGACGGTTGTTCCCGGTGTGAGATCTCACCCAACCCCTCCTGGGCCATAGCTGGTACTAGCTTTTGATAACATTGTCCTGCCGCTCGGGGAGCATTCTTCAAAGACACCTGC